TTTTTTTTTTTTTTCCTTTAACTTATTTTTATATCATTCTTCATTGTTCTAGCCAGGGGAAGTCATCTAACTTCTTAGTGTCTCAATTTACCTAATGGGAATAACTTGGTGTTGCTGTACAGATCAACTATGATAATTTCTGTGAAGTACTTGGCCTCACTGCCAAATACATTATCACTTATTTTGAATAACTTTATAAACACTGAAAAAAGGGAAGAGATTGTGATTTGAGTACCTCCTATGTACCAGTATTAGTGCTTTCTTCTGTTTCTTGTTTAATATCTTCATGGCAAGATGAAGTATTGGCATGGCATGGTCAAGAAGTATTGTTTCCATTTTGCATGTGAACCCGGCTATAAAAGTTCCATTTCACAGGTTGTAAGGAGCTGGATCGGCTCCAAAGTTCATCTTCTTTCCATGACTTCATGCTGTCTCCACTTATCTATTTGCCATTGAGCTTTGATAAGTTATAGCTCTTGTACATTTTTTTCTAGTGCATGATTTCCTCTTTTGGATTTAATTATAGTTTGTCATGCAAATCCTCTTATATTTATTGTAGTTCATAAACTTTGCTGCTAACAAAAAAGCTTACTTTCTTCTGCAGGCAAAAATGTATCACCTCTTCAGAGTTAAGAAAACATTACTCTGCTTCTTTTAGAACATTTTTCTAAAAGGTTTACAGTTTATTCTGCGCTTTCTAGGAACTTCCTAGTGTTCCTGGACTGCAGGCTAACTCATCTCCACTTGAGGGCAAGCCCTGCACCCTACTTCTGAGCTCTCCCAGAGTTTCCAGATGAGCTGGGCTCTTCCTCTGCCTCCATGCCTTGCACACACCAGGAGCTAGACTTGCTCTACCTCAGTCTCCAAAATCCTTTGGCCTTCCTTCTAGGAAGTCCTCATCCCCACCCCAACGAAGAGAGGTGACATGGTCTTCCTGAGGTCTCTGCCTGGGTTTCTTTCCCATACATTCATTCACTTACTCTCTCCCTATCTCTGTCCATTTCTGTGCTGGCATATCCCATCATGGCAGCTCTGCCTCAAGTCTTCAGGGACAGAGACTGTCTCTAAAGATGTCTGAGCATAAATATTCAGCATCTTTCCCAGGAACTGGAACACATTTGATGGATAAATGACGAACAGGATAAAAAAAAATGCTTTGAAAACCTTATTAAAAAGTGACTGTTCTGGTTGTGCAGCTGACGGTTTTTCACAGATTACATGCATACACTAGTCTTGCCTCTTGATTGATTTTTTTCTTTTAAACTTGATTCTGCATGACCTGGAGAATTTCCATTTTGTTTCAAAATTTGGTAACATACTTCTGGCCCTAATACAATTTTAAAATCTGATATTTTTCTTCATTTACTGTAGAAAAAGCAAATACATCTGGGACTAAATCAAGTTTGTGTATGGACCATTCACACCAGAAACATAATCTAGTCTCTCATCATTTATTCCTTCCTTCATTTCTTCTATAATGTCTTTCCAATTTTCTTTGACTAACTCTCTTCTGTATAAGCTGAATTAATACCCTGTATTTAATGGATTTTATGCTACATCAAATCACAGGTGCTCTGTGCTGAAAAAGGAATTAATGCTTTCCTAAAAGGGGGGTGGGGAAGGGGGGGCCCTAACATTAGAATCATCTGGAGGTTGTAAAACATAGAATGCAAGTCCTACTCCTCAGAGCTTTTGACTCAGCAGAATTGGGGTGGGACCCGAAGATCTACATTTCTAAAAGGTTCCCAGGTGATGCTCTTGCTGCTGATCCTGGGACCACACTTTGATTCCCAAAGTTAGTGACTATTACAGTTACCTGGGTGGGTTGGGGTACCCCATGGAACTCTGTTTCTGCAAGTTTGGAAATTTATCTTCTCCTTGTCTTTAAAGTTCCCCAGGTTCCTGCAGGTAACCTGCAGATGTGGGCACTCCTCTGGTGCAGGCCCATGGAAAGGGCTGCTCCCCTCCAGTGCTCTGACTTGGGTGCAACAGAGCATATAGAAAGTGACTTTGTGCCTAGGGGCTTCCATGGTGGCCTAGGGGTTAGTGTCAGCACTATCACTGCTACAGCCTGAGTTCAGCCCCCACCTCTGTCTCTGGTGAATTCTCTCACCTCCCACATCTCTGCCTACAGCCTCACATTTTCTATGCAAAAATAAATAAATAAATACCAATCTTTTTTAAAAAAGTCATTTTGTGTCTACAGCCTATCATTATGAAGAGCTAACAAGCCTCCCTTCTGTCTTCTTTCAACTCATTGATAAAAATGATGATGGGTCCTCCCTGGCGGTGCAAGGGGTTAAGCGCAGCACTATGAAGCTATCAGCAGCCAGTGCAGCATGAGTTCAATCCCTGGCCAGGGAGGTGACCCACATGGCACAGCAGACCTCTCCTGTCCTGCCTGCTGCTCCCCTCAGCAGTGTATTTCAGTCCATCTGCCTATTCTGCTCCCCACTCGATTTCTTCTCACCCCTGCAACTCTGACCTATAGCTTAGATCTTGTATGCATAAATAAACAAATCTTTAAAAAGATGATGACAAGGTACTTGAATGAGACACCATCTTACATTCTCAAAAAAAAAAAGAACAAGTGTGGGCCAAGATGCAGAGAAATTAAATTTTTTGTGCACTGTTAATAGGATTGTAAAATTACATTACTATGGAAAACAGTGTGAAAGTTCTTGAAAAAAATTAAAAAATAAAACTATTATATGACCCAGCATTTCTACTTCTGGACATTGACCCAGAAAAATTGGAAATAGTATCTTGAGGAGATGTTTTCATATACTATGAATATGGAAGAATTTTGGGACATTATCTGAAGTGAAGTAAGTCAATAGCAAAAAGACAAATGCATAAGGTGTTTAAAGTAAACAAATTATAGAAACAGTAGATTGATGAGTGTCAGAGACTTGTAGAGGGGAAGGGGTTAGAGTGTATAATTAGTACAGAGTTTCAGATTTGCAAGGCAAAAAATTCAGCAGATTTGTGAATACATTTAACTACTGAACTGTACACTTCATAATATTATGATGGTAAATTTTGTTATGTGTTTTTTTTTTAAATACAGACACACATTGACAATGTCAGAATCAAGTGCAATGTCCTATGGTAGAGCACTGGGGAATTTCCTCTAGGCTTACTCCACTGTTTTATCTCAGGGGCAGGTTAATTTTACCTAATTTGAATCACTTAGCAGTCCTTCTTTACCTTGTTCGTAAGAAGATCATTCTTTATTATATTCGACATGCATACTAAATGTCTAAAATGAAATAAAACATTTTCTCTTTCTAAAATAAAAATTAGATTCACCTTTGCATGTCAATGACTCCCATTACTTAAGGAGGCAGTTTAAAGCTGCTCCTTGGAAAGCTAAGGTCTCCTGGACCATCACAGGAATGTCTCTCTACACATGGTCTCTCGGTTAATCCTCACAGCAGTCTCTGAAGGAGGAGGGTTAGGTGAGGAAACAGACTCAGGTAGGGTAAGGGCCTTGCCCAGGGTCACCCGGGTTGGAAGTGGTGTCAAGTGAGGGTGTGTAGCGCTGAGGCTCAACCTGCTCCCCCACTGTCTTAACACTAGACATCTGTTTTAGGGGGGTTGCTATGGAGAGATGGGCAGTCATGACAATGAAAATCTATCGTTCTTTCAGAAACCTCAGGCACAAATTGTTGCTTATCACAAATTATGAGTTTTTTCCCCCCTGATCCCTTACACTCCTGGTATGAGTGAAACCATCCAGTATTTTCCTTTTTCTTTCAAAAATAAGTGTTTAAAAAATCATATGTTAGTATAATAATTTATAATAATGAGTAGAAACTTATAATATGTTAAAAGGAGTGATTATTCTGGCAATATTGTATATTAAGTGCTACTTTCTGCTCTGAAAAAAAATTATGAAAGTTAGCCTGCTCTTAGTCAATTAATAAGCAATTTGTATTGCTACAACAGCAATTCTCTCAATTAGCAATCATTTCCAGAGGAAAAAGACAGGTGCTATCTTCTTTCTTTTACAGATATGGAAACTAAGGCATAGAGTAACTAAGTGACTTATTTAGAGTCATTCAGTGAATTTCAGAGCTGGAAAGAAAATCCACCAGAAACCCAAGAAGTTTCATTTATAATTTATGGTGAGGAGGAAAAAAGTTTTATATTGTTTTGCTTTCCCCTTGAGGAACTGGAATGTTTTCTCCTTTCTGATTTTGAAATAAATTCCTTTACCGTGTTTCTCTTTTTGATTCTCAAATTTGCTACCCAGTCTGCAGCTCTGTTATTCTTCACAGTCAGCAGCTTTGTTTCCCCCTTCTCCTTGGTACTAACTTTCTAGCTTTACTATCCTAAAGTCCATGTCTATGCGGCCTTTGTTGGAGCCTGCCTCAAGTCCTTTTCTGAAAGAGGCCTGTTACAAAGAAGTGAGTGGGTGAGCGAGTGAGTGGCTAGTTCATCAGGAGGACCAACTCTCTAATAGAGTGCTTTGTCTCCAGAATTTACAATAATTTACTCAAGTGTTAAGAACAGAGAAACTGAATTCAGACTGGGAGGCTGTAGGACTCAACGGACCATCAAAGAGTGGTGAACATCACAGAGGAAGGGTAGAGGACTTTCATGAACTGATGCCTTATACGTGGTCTCTGGTTTATTCTCACGGTAATTCTGTGAGGCAGGTGTTTATTTCCCCTTCTTGCAGGTGAGGGAGAAGTATAGTGACTCATTCACGGTTACAAAGCCATTGTGAGGTGGAGCCTAGAACAGAACCTGCTGCAATGGAATGAAGCCCAGAGTCAAGGCTTTCTCCTTCTAGGCCTTGTGGTCTCCAAACCAAAATCACCTGAGAGGCTCCCAAGACAATAACAACATGTCAACTTGTGAGCCACATATTTGGTGCAGAGAAGGGAAATCAGCTACGGATACCCCTCTCTACTCCAGAAAAGCTGCAACCAAATACAGAGGGTAAATAGTTTAGTCAGTGTCTTGAATTGAATGAGCATGCAGTTCTGCCACTGGAAACCTCCTGAGGGTTCACTGTGAATGGACACAGTGCATTCCCGTGCCTTCTCCTTTCTCCAGATCTGTGTGGGGTGACCCCCTGAAGCATGGCAGTCCTACCTTTCTCACAATAGGGCTCCCCATCTTCCATATGGAAGAGGCTATTCCCAAAGGGCTTCTTGCAGGCCGCACAGATGAAGCAGGTGGTGTGCCAAGTCTGTCTCAGGGCATGCATCACTTCCTGGGTGTAAAGAGACTCAGCTTAGGACAGCAAGGCCAGGAGAGAGAGGGAGCAGAGTCCCCACCATGCCCTGGCCACTGCTGGAGCATCCCACAGAGAGCAGAGCAGAAAGCCCAGGAAGAGCGGGCACGCTGAAGAAGAGCCCAGGGGTGGCAGAGGAGAAATCCCATTCATGCAATATTTGCTGGGTGTGAGGTTCTGTGGGTGCTTACAGCGTCTGGGAGGCTTAACCCTTCTGCCAGACCTGGAAGGGAGGTACTGCTTATTACCACAGGGCATAAGGGTCAGGGTCACATGGGGGTGCCTGGTGAGGTCAGACTGGGAAGTGATAACTTGCTTTGCAGAAACTCTGCCCTCACTTCAAGCTGTGTGGCCCAGGTGTGTAATCATCTCTTGCTTCAAACTCATTTGCTCCGTAGTTCATTAAAGGCACACCTACCCCTTCTAGGTTGGAAATGGAGTTGTTCTCCCTGTTGTTAGCAAACTTCTAGCTTCCTATGGGAGCTCTGAAATCTTGAGGAGGGGGAGAGACTGGTGAAGCTTAGAAAAAAGACAAGGGTCTGAGGACAGGAATGCTACCCACTTACCCCCATGATTTTGGTGTTGCACTTGGCACAGATTGGAGCGAAGAACTGCTCGTAACACCGTTCACAGTAAACATTGTTCTGCTCCTCCACAAAGCACATGTCTGCCAGGGAGGTCTTGCAGTAGGCACAGTTGAACTCTTCTGGGTGCCAGGAGCGGCCCATGGCTACCAGGAAAGGGCCCCTGGGGAAACAGAAAAGCACCCACTGTGACAGCCCCAAAAACTTGAGAACAGGTATTTCGAGACTCTCAACAATAATCATTCGCTGACCCAATAACCATGACTTTGTGACTCTTCTAATGAAATAATGTAAAATTCAGATAAATCTCCACTCAGAATCCATTGCATCCATTGAGCTGAGCCGCTAACAAAAGGGGTACAGAAATATTTTATATTTTTATTTTTATTTTTCAGATTGTTCTATTTTTCTCTCCAATGAGTATTAAAGTTTTATTTTTAAATAAAAGTGTATTTTTTGGTTATATATTAGCTTACTCTCCCCAACACACACACACACACACACACACATCCACACACTATATTCAAGCAAGCACCACCCAGTCCCTGACAAGTAAATGTGAAATGACTTGTTTTCATTTTGGTGTGGCAGATGCTCCCCAGAGACCTGAGCAATACGGTCTCTGGAAAGACCCAGAAACAACCCTAAAGGGAAGGTGGGTCAAAACTTGCACTGTTAGTCAGCTTGCAACATGCCCAATAAACATACTGACAAGACCTGTGATTTCTAGAACCTGGCCTTAGCTCAAGTGGGAGGTCCTGGCACCAGGCAGTGCCCTGAGAGCTTCACCCACTTACCTCATGGAATCCTCCTAACTCCCCAGGGAAGTGGGTATTGCACAGGTATGGAAGCTAAAGCTCAGAGAGGGTCAAGGTGAGCCCAGAGGGACCTGAGGCTGCCTGCTATCAGCCTTCTCCCTACACCTGCCCTCCCAGACACCCAGCTCCACCACAGGGCTAATGCACCCTGAACCTTCCCACTCCCAGCACCCCAGTACAGGGGCACACTGGACCTTACCGGATGATGTTGTTGCAGTGACCGCAGAGTGGAGTTCGGCTACTGGCTGGGAAGCGCTCAGCCCTCTGAACAATGCCCCTGGCATGGGGAGCACCTGTTGGGGTATAGGCCCCTCGAGGCAGGGTCTGCTTGCTGATGGAGGTGGTGCCCTTGCCAGGGGCAAACTTCTGAGAGAAGTTGTCGTCCGTCACCCATGGTGGGCGACTAGCAGTCTCCACAGGGCCTCCACTATAGGCCCCTGAGGGTGGGGGGTTATAACTTGGGGCAGGGGAAGGGGAGTAGGTGGGGGCAGGAGAGGGTGTATAGGTGGGGGCAGGAGAGGGGGTGAAGGTGGGGGCAGGTGAGGGGGTGTAGGCAGGGGCAGGAGAGGGGCTGTAGGTGGGAGCAGGTGAGGGGGTGTAGGCGGGGGCAGGTGAGGGGGTGTAGGGAGTTGAACTATAATTGGCGCCGGGGGATGGACTGTAGGTAGATGTAGGCACTGCAAGCCGAAAATAAACAAAGAGAAATGTGTCAGGAATTCATTTCCTACCACCTTTCCCCACCCCAAGATAGAAAACCGTAAAAGGTGACTTTAATATTGAAGCAGTATAATTCCAACTTTTACGGAGACACACTCCTGGACTTCTTGATGCTCCAGATTGGTATTTGCAGCCGAGAACCAAGCAAAAGAGCAGTAATCAGAGCTGGGCTCTGGGCAACTCCAGCAGGGGTGGGAAAGGGATACAGCTATAAATATCTGCAGCTGCATGGGGCAGGGCTCAGTCGGGCCCTAGCCCAAGGCCTACAGAAGCCAGGGAGTGGGGGGGTAGGGGGGGTGTCAGTATCTGGGTTCCCTGAGATGGGAATAGGGTGGATGGGGATGAGTCAACTTGGCCTTGACTCTGACCAGTGATTTGACATCTGAAATGCCTTAGTCGCATACTTTTGCTGAACCAGGGCCTAGTCCAGCGTTCGGGGACACAGCTGATGACAGGGCAGCTGGGATTTCTGGGCAAAGTTTCAGGTCAGCGACAATCCTTTTCTTGAAGAACCTCTTGGCTTGATCTGTACTGGGGAGGAATTCCATCTTGATTAGATTGGGGTCAGGGAGGAGGGTCTTGAAGTACTCCTTCGGAGAAGGTGGGGTGACAGCCCAGGTCTAGCTGTTCTGAAGTCCCTCCTCCAGCTCATGGAGAGCTGAAAGCTCTGTGGGACGATAGCACGCAGGAGCATTGGAACTGTTCTCTCAAAGTCACCCCTGCCCCTGCTCCTGTGCCCCGACCTTCAAATGCCAGGTTTTGAAGTATTCTGCTGCCATGTCCTGCACACGTGGTCCAGCTGGCCTCCTCATACAGTGAGGGAGGTTCCAGATCTTCTTTTCAGGTCATAGTCTGCTATTCTGGAAAGAGGCTTCATTTTCCCCACCCCAGAGAAGAATGTCAGGGCAGCCTTCCTCCCCATTCCTGAGCTTGGCCTGAGTGGATGAAGTTCAGAGGGGAGCTGAGGCAGCACCCATTAGACTGTAGCCTAGAAAAGATGGCCTTTCTCAGGGCTAAAATTCTTGACTCTCCTGGACCACCCTGGGTGACCTGTGGCCTCTCTGCCTTCTATTCTCAGATGACTCAGAGCTAAGTAACTGGAACCCTCTCACTGGGGATTGGTAGGGACCAGTCAGTGTTATTGAAAGATAAAGGTGTAGAAGCCTGGGATTGATGCTGGTTTCCAAAGATGAAATCCACTCCATAAGAAATCTTCCCACTTAGTAGGTGTGTAGACTGGGCCCTCCTTGGTGGCAAAATAGGTTAAATAAATCTCAGCACTATGAAGCTATCCACAGCAACTGCAGCACAAGTTTGATCCCTGGCTAGGGAGCTGACCCACATGGTGCAGCAGACCTCTACTGTCCTGCTGACTACTCCCTAGGCAGTGTATTTAAGTTAATCTGCCTGTTCTGTTCCCTAGTCTGTCTCTGATGAATCCTTTTACCCACACCTCGCCTCCCTGAACCTCTGGCCTTTGCACCAATTCTTGTGTGCATAAATAAATAAATCTTAACAAAAAAACCTAGGTGGGTAGAGTAGGCACATAACAGATCAACCAGGTTAGTGCCCTTTATAGGTGAAGTCACAGAGGCTCAGACAGAGCTGCTAAGTGGCAGAACTAGTCTCCAACACCTTATCACCCCAAACTGCCTCTGTAAAGAATACCAAGCCATTTCCAGAAAGTGGTGGTAAACCATGTCATTGAGGAGTAACAGTCCACATGGAGGAGGCCCTGTACTCTGGTGTCTAGCCATCAAGAACCTTGGGTTATGGGACCTCCTTGATAGTGCAATGGGTTAGAGCACAACACTATGAAGTGATTGCAGCCACTGCAGCATGAGTTCAATCCCAGGCCGGGGAGGTGACCCTCATGGTGTGGCAGACCTCTCCTGACCACCAACTGCTCCCCTCAGCGGTGTGTTTCAGTACACCTGCCTGTTCTGCTCCCCACTCTGTCTCTGGTGAATCACAACCTCTTCACTTCTGGCCTGTACCCCAGTCCTGTATGCACAAATAAATAAATCTTTAAAAAAAAAAAGCCTTGGGTTTAGGTTGCAGGTCTCCAACATCCTGGCTGTGTGTCCTTGGGTATGTTCCTTAATATCTCTGTGCTTGAATTTCCTTGTCTGGCAATAATTCTTAGTACCTCACGGGGTTATTATTAAGATTAAGGGAGAAAATGAATAAAAACATAGCAAATCATACCTAGCACAGTGTATATGTCACTAAATGTTAGTGAGGAAGGTGAGGATAGTGACACCTTGGTTATAAGGTTTGGATGAACTGTCAGCTCACCTTACAGCATGGTAGCCACCTGCGGGAGCCCAGGCCTGGTAGACTGTGGATGTGGCGATGGGGTAGGGGTGGGACATATGATACCTTGAATTCAGGTAACCTGTGATGAGTCTACTCAGTGGGGGTGAAATATAAGATGCCCTGCCCACTTCTCAGGGAATGGTAGGCACCACCCAGACCAAGTGTATGACATGGTACATACACTTTGTAAAAGTGTGAGGCCCATTTTCAAGATATTGTGGTCCACCCTAAAAGCCTTGTACATCTTCCAAAATCTGGAGCAGAGGATCTCAAACACTGGGGGCAGGGGTGAGTGATTTGGGGAATACCCCCCTATGGAGTGGGTATGAGAACTTCAAAGCAGAACTTCAGAACAGCTTCAACCCTCTCTGTTACATATAATGGACTTCTGCATAAGATTTCTTTTTTTTGGTAAGGTGGGGGATCTCAGCTAAAAGAGATTAAGAACAGAAGCCCCCTCCTGTGCTGTGCATATGTAATTCTATGTGGGCAAGAAGTACCTGGAATGTGAATTGAGAAATGCTGTGTAGAGTACACACTGGATGACAAAGACAGTGCAAGAAGGTAAAATAGCTCATTAGTAATTATTGATTCCATACTGAAATGATAATTTGAAGATACTCAGTCAAACACATGTCACCTGGTTCTTTTTACTTTGTATCAACTTGAAAATTTGTTTTTATTGGAGTGTTGGCCTAGTCAGAATAGTGGCCACCAAGTATCATTGTTTCCACACGCCAGGCCCTTGATATACGTTATTTTATATAAAACTGCAACCCACTGAGGCAGATATTTATAAATCCGTTTTACAGATGTGGCGTTAAGGTGCGGAGCTAGTGAACTGCCCAGCTTAAATGGGCGCTCAGAAGTTGCACTCAACGCCAGATCCCTCGCTTAACCGCTCCCTAGGCAGCCAAACAGGCTTTTTTAGCACCCCGCTTCCAAATCGGGCCTTTGCCCATTTTTCCTGCCTCCTTCCAGCAATACTAATAGTCCCCCTTCCTGGCAGACATTCTCTTTCGTCCTCCGAAAGGCCGTCCAGACTCCCTGCTCCACCCCCCTTTTCCAAGTCTTCACAATACTGAGCTCTCCGCTGGTCAGTGGCAGGCGGGCGGGCCGGCCAGTATCTGGACTCTGCGCGCGTCTGGCTGCTTCCCCGTCCAGGGCTACACCCACCCGGGGACCTGCCCTTCCTCGGAGCGATTTGGTTGCGCCCTTCCCACATCTCATCCCCCATCTCCCGGCGGAGGTGGAAGCGGGGAAGCAGGGAGCAGCAGTTTCGAGATCTCCCTCCCTCCGCGTCCTTGAGCCCGGCTCGCAGCGCACTGGCAGGCCAGGAGGGACTTGATAGCCCTCCTCAGAGCCGCGGGCTGTTGCTATTTCTGCGTGACGGAATAAGGCCCGTCCAAATTAGAAGGTGATATTTCATCTCTAATTGGCAAGTTCAAAAGGCCCCTATCGCACTCGGCAGCCTCGGAATGTGTAATTAAACTAGGTGATTTCTGACTCACTCCAGGTCGGCCCGGCTTCCCGCGAGCGCCCGGCCCCCGCCCGGCCTGCGGGCCCACAAGGCCTCCCCCGGCCCGCACTGGGGCTCTCCGCCCACGGTCAGGTAGACCCCGGGTTCCACGCTGCACCATGGGCCCCCGGCGCTTTAGGGAGCAGCCTTCGGGTCCCCACGCCGGCGCTAAGACCGCGGGCGCGAACAGCGCCCTCGGCCCGAGAGCGGCGCCCGGGGCCGGGGCGGGCGTTCCCGCGCCGACTCAGCAGGGGAGGGGGCTTGGCCCACATTCCCCGCTGCTCCCCGGGCCGCCAGCCAGCCGCCCCCGGACCCCACCCGCCAGCCGGGCCACCCGGGGAGAGGGGTGGAGGCAAGCCCGGTCACCTCCTCCCCTCCGGGCAGGAATGAGTTAACGTCTGCACTGCCTGGGAACTCCGCGGAGGCCCGCGGCCTCCGGGCTCCAGCACGTCTCTCCCGCCGGGGCCCCAGCCGGGGTGGGAGGAGGAAAGGGGCGGGAGGCGGGCCGGGCACCGCACAGTCGCCGGAGCCGGGCTGCCCCCTGGCGGGCCTCCGGGGAAGCGCCGGCTGCCGGGGCGGGGGCGCCGACGCCTTGGCCCCGCCCCGGAAGGTGCCCTGGAGGCGGCGAGTCCAGTCCCGCCCGGACGGAAGTGCCCTCCCGGCGTCGCGACGGTGCCTCCCCCCCCACCCGCCACTGCTCACGCAAACTCCTTCTTGCTTTGCCTCCAGTGTGCTCCACCTCCGCAGAATAGCGGCACCCCCAGCCCCGTCTGCGATCTTTTCACTTCTGCAGCCTGTGCCAGATTGTTCCTTAACCCTGTGGATTTTTAGCCCCATAAGCGTGTGCCCCTGCCTTTGAAGGCTGGAGAAGGACCCCTCCTGACTGCCAAGTACTGTGCTAGGTGCTTCATTTCCCAGATTATGAGTGCACACAGTATTGTGCCTTTTCTTCAAATGGGGAAATTCTGGCAGGGAAGATGAAGGACTTTGCCTTCGATTACAGCGCCCATGAACAGCCCACTCACGCTGCTCTGAGGGCTAATGACCATGGCTCCTCCGTCCTGCACATCAAATCTAGCTCCTCCAAGTCAGGGTCTTCCTGACTCAGATGCTGTCTTGTCTCCTAGCTCTTGGGCCACGGTGAGAATCCCAGCTAGTTTCCTTGTTCCTTAGTAGAGTATGTTCCTGTTTCTTTACACCATAGCTGCTTGCCTAATGCTCCTGAGAAAAGTCCCCTCCCTGCCCCCTCATTCTGTCCCAAACAATTCATTACCTTTCTCACTTCCTCAGTTTCACCATATGCTATGTGTGTTATTACTGGGGGTCGGGGGTTGGGGGGGGTGGGAGTGGTGGGGAGTGGCCCGTGGAGGAAGTTTGTGTCACTATTACAAGTGGAAACTATGGCTTTCCATATTCAAGATGGATGTAAAGGTTCGAAGTATAATGCTTTAAATGAAAAACCTGTCTCACTAATCTTACCTGGTATCTGAGCAGCAGGTACCACTCTGAAGACCCTTGTGACCTGTTATCCCTGTGTGTTGGGCCACCAGAGTGTACAGGGCACACATGCCCTCCCTTCTCTTTCCCTGATTTGCATCCCTCCCTAATTTTCATTCACTACTTTTGCTGAGCATCACCTCGGCACCAGGCCTGTGTCAGACGCTGGAGATGTAACAGGCCCTCAGGGAGTTGCGAGTCAGAGGGGATGATGAAGTCAGCACTCAGGGCCTATTTGCCAGGAACCCTCTGTGGACATTGCTGTAGACTATCACTCACAGGACCTTCCCTCCCTTCCCCAAAGATACCTGCCAAAGAGCCCTTAGGTTCAGTGACAAGGGGCAGGCAGGTGCAGATTGGGTGCAAGTCAGCTTGAAAATTGGAGTATCAGGGAAACAGGCTCAACTTTGCTTAGGAAACTGGAAGCCTGAGCCCTCATCCTTGCAAAGGGGCTCTAGGTAGTAATGAGAAGGGGTATCAGAGCAATTGGACAGTAACCAGTGAGCTCAGCTGCCAGCACACCCAAGGCTGGCCACTCTAGTCTGCCATCTATACTCTCCTTGCCTCCAGTTTTTCTGCCCATACTGAGGAAAACAAAGACCAGACAGTTGGGAAGCTTGCCCAGGGGCATGCAGTGACACAGTAGGTTTATCCAAAGTCCATGGCATTTTGATTATAGCTGATAGCTGTCTGTCCTCTGGCTTGAGCCAGACCCAGACTCCTGGAGGGGCAAGCTCCCCTGTCTCGATCCCCCAACCCTCTTTTTCTGGATCCTGGAAATCCCCAGTTAGGAACCTCCTCTTCCTAAGAGCTAGGACTCCATCCCTGTCTGGCACTGCCCACCTATCTTCCCAAGCCAAAGAAGGGCCCATAGGATTCTGGCCCACAGCTGGGGGAAAGAGGGCTGCGTTCATTGTCAGGAACTTGTTCATTACCACCCTTCTGGGAGTGAGGGTGTTGGCTTCAGAGCTGAACTTGGAGCTCATGGCCAGACGAGCCACCCTTCCCTCCCACACTGCCTTCTTACCTGACTGGTAGACAGAGGGTCGGATGCTGGCAGTGGTGACAACCCGGGGTTTGGGTGCAGGGGCTGCTGGGGCCTCACTGTACGTGTGGGCAGCAGGTGCTGGAGAGGTCACAGCGGCAGGGTTGTAGGCAGAGGCCTGAGGCCTGGAACCAAGGGGAAAGAGTTAGCTGCCAGAGGACAGCCCCATCCAGTCCCTGGGGCCTGTACCATGGCAAGTTGGCTCCCCATCTTCTGAGCCTCTGTGAGCAGGAAACCTAAGACCAGAATTCCTGGGGAGCTGCCAGAGACTGTGAAGGAGAGACCAAGGGGCCCTTGGGCAAAGAAAGCTGCTCCCTGGGTGGCTGAGTCTTGGTTAGTCTGGTTAGAGCAGCAGAGACACCCAAGAAGCATGGCCCATTGCTGGTGCCTCTACCTTAGAAGTGAAGGAGGAAAGCCACCAACTAAAAGCAGAGACTCCATGGAAAACCCTTTACCTCCAAGGTGTGAGGCTGTCAACATGAGGCTGGGCTGTAGGGCACAGAGGCAGGAGAGAGCAAAGAGAAGGAGACCATCAGAACTACCCCACTAGTTCAATATTCTGACCTCTTGGGGCACAGCACAGCCTCAGCCGGGAATTCACCCAACACTCCCATATGCCCCCTGCCCCTCCCACCACCCCCCTCCCTGGCCTCTCCTCTGCATGGAAGTCCTATTGCCCTCCTCTCATGGGACTAGCTGCCAAGAGGCCTAGTGCAGCTTTCCCCACTTGTGACCCAGGGATCCAGGGACCAAACAAACAGGGCAGGGGAGTGTCCCTGTTAACCATCTTCAGGAAATGCGCTTGGCCTGTCCTCTTAGGGTGCTAGAGTCTCCAAGAGCTGCAGAGTGAAGCAGCCTGCTGAACTCTGGCCTAGTGTTTCCCAATTTCATTTGTCTGTGAAATTGCACACCCACCCTGTTTCTTTCATCTGAAACTAATGAACACCTACCTTAGAGAGCACATCCAGGCCTCTCCCTGCATCTTTCAGATCCTAGCAGGGGCTACATGACCAGACCCAGAGAAAATGAGTCCTGGGAGTTGCTGAAGAAGCAAGTCCCTGGGAATAGACTGTCCCCTCTCCCACTAGTCCATGGCTTCCTGCTTTTCTTCCACCTGAAGCCCAGACCCAGTTGGGGGGTGATGAGGGGAAGGGGCATTCAGACCTGTTCTGCCAAGTTGCCATATTCTGGTTGCATGAGGTCATTGTCTCCCTCTCTGGACCTGCTGGGCCTTCTCTGATAACCTGCTGTTAAGACCAGTGAAGTAAGGGCCTCAATGAAGAAGAAGAGGCAGGCTCATGAGTACTCAGCCCCCAACGTGATGGGAGAAGACCTTAGGCTAGGAGATCAGAGTCAGATTCTCCCACCAGGGGAGGATGCCAAGTGCTATAAGTGCTGTGTCAGGGACTGGCATTGGGGGAGGCTGAAGACAGTCAAGAATTCTGAGCCCATGCTGGGAGTCCCTGTGCCTCTTACTGGCTTCCTCTACTCTTAGCTCCATCCCAGTCCACATGCCAGGAGAGACAAGAGTGGGCCCAGAGTGTGGTCACCTGTTGCCTTCTGCTCCAGTGTGAGGATGGGAACCTTCTGAGACCCTTTCCAACCTCCATGCAGACCCACCTGTCCTGACAAGACAAAGTGAAAGATGCCCTGAGGACTCAGGACACTTGGGCCTGGTGTGTGCTGCTAGAAGTTGCCCTTGAACTTTGAGCTCTCCCCTCCAATCCAGTGAGGCAACCTCCCACTCAACAACATTTCTTATCTTCTGAAAGATTTTGACATGCAGAGGGCAAGCAGGTTTGTGAGTGACCCAGGAAGATGAATTAAATCAACCCATGGAGGCCTCAGGCCTGGCTCACCCAGTTTTGAGTTGGGCTGGCCAAAGGTTGGGTCATTGTGCAGCAAACAGATCTGTGGGCCACTTTGATAATCTTTTGTCTCACCTCAGGCTATACCACAGACCTATGTGCCCTGCCCCAGGGAGGCATGAACTCTCTGGGAAAATCCTGACAGGGGAGTGTGAGAGCCTCAGAGAGCTGACTGACCCCAGTACCACACAGTCCGGATGGAGCTGGGCACCTGCCTGTTACACCACCTCCTGCTTGCTCCAGAGTGGCATATCCAGCCTGCCTGACCAGCCTGCCCGCTGCTTCTCTGCCTCCTCACATCCTCTTTACCACCCCACCCCTCACCTTTGCAGGGCAAGTCAGAATGCAGTAATTCACGGTACTCCTGAGCTTTTCATGTGCTCGTTGTTATATTTGTACTTTTTCTATCCTGACTGTGTAGCATAGATAGACCTCACATCAGACATCTTAGTAGATTTGGAAACAGGTTCAAAGGAGTTAAGTCACTTTCTGAAGGTGGAGCAGATATTTAAACCCTGCTGCACCTGGTACCCCTAGAATTATCTTGCTTCTCTGTCAAAAGAAGAGAGGGTTAGGCAAATCTATGACTAGATTCGGTCTGACCAAATCTGACCACCTCCTGTGCCGGGTCAGTGCTCTCTCTTCCACGAAGACTTTCTTGACTCCCCCAGTCCTCAGTGTCCCTAAGGAAACTTCCAGAGCATAAACTTCACAGTTTCCTTTTGTTACTTCTCTGTGGCCTTGTATATGACTTGTGCCTCTGGGTGGGGGCAGGGTGATACATACCTCTGTGCCTCTGTCCTTGGCCATGCTTGGTGTGCTTCCTAGAATGCACGCCCATTTTTTCCTTCACTCTCAGTGCCAAGCAGTGCTAACCTTGGCGTCCCTGGTGCCTCGGGCCTAACCACCTTGGGTGAGACTTTCTGGGGTGTGAACACCGCTGCTGATAGACGTGCCCAGAGCGAGGCTTTTCCTGCCTCCATTCCCCATCGTCGGGGCTGGCGCCTGTCAGCCTGTTACCTTGGACCGTCCGCAGGGCTTGAGGCAGGGGCAACATGGACAGCGGCTGCAGCCAGGGGTGGCGAGGTTGTGCCTGGAGAGGCAGCAGCAGGCGGCTGGGCAGAAGCAGGCAGCAGTGGGGTGGCAGCCTGGCTGGTACACACTGGCGCATGCTCAACAGGGGTGCTGATGAGGCGGACCAAGAAAGACAACAGGTCAAAGGGGCCTTTCTGCGCGGGGCATGGCTGCAGCAGAAGCACTGCGGGACAGGCACCATCCTACTGCAGAGCAGGATCTTCCAGAAGGCACCCCCCAAAGCTCAGGGAAGGACCCCAACTCCACCCCAGAACCCCTGGAGGGCTCAGATCACAGGGAGGATTGAGGGAAAATAAAAAACATTTTTTGGAGTACACCCCAGGCCATTGTTGTGTACTTCCTAAGTTTTCTTTCCTGGCATGTATAGTTAAAACAGTGTGAAAAATAAACAACAGTGTAAGAAAGTAAATAAAAAATTTTAAATAACAATAGAAACACAGTGGGGTGGAAATTGAATTATCAGCCAAGTCTTCTCCATCTTGTTTCCCTTTTCCTTCTGCCCTTCTCCAATTAGCCAAAAGTAGGCATTGCCCTTTGGAAAGCAATAACACAATGAAAAGAAAACAAAAACAAAACAGAAGCTGTTTGAGTGTCAAGGGTTTAGGCTCTGGAGTTGTGAGGGCCTGGGCTTTAGGCTCTGAAGCCATCAGGGTATTAACAATGAATTTAGAAGATGGGTGGAAGCTACATGCCTGGCAGATCAAGGTGACATGGGCCAGAAAAGGGACAATGTGACATGGTGCTTTCAAGGACAGAGGTGGCTGCAACCAAGGGCTGGGTACCCACAGACCCCCACCTGCCCACCCTAGCCTTCTGCAAGTTCCTCTTCTCCAGAACCACCCCAGACAAGAGAGGAACATCAGAGCCTGGGTCAATGGGATTAGATGCCTGCCACCTGGCAGAAAACAAACATTAAGTTAGAGGCAAGCAAAGAAAGGCACATTCTTTACCCAGCTGGGTCATTGGACTAAGATCTGCATTTGCTACCACAGCAGCAGGATATTGTGACTCCTGCAAGCAAGGATGCATTTCCCACGCTATGCCATTCATTTACGGACTGTGTACCATGTGCCAAGCATGGTTTTCAATTCCCCATGACAGCCCTTTTTGTGGATATTATTGACTTTTTTCTAAATGAAGGAATGAAGACTGAGATGATTCCATTGCTCAAATTCTTGCAACTTATCGGTAGTGACAGCAAGATCTGACTCAGGACTGGAGGAGCATCTGGTTTTGGAGCCTTAACTAGTGCCTCACATGGGCCCAGCCTGGAAGAAACTTCCTGTGATGGCTCAAACAGAATCTTCTCCCAACTAAAGGCACTATTCCTCTTTGAAGAACTGGAATCACTGTCTTCCCTCCGTGGTGCTGACCATCTGTTGGGCCTTGTGCTAAGCAGCTGGATCACTTTATTCCATTACCCCATTTGATTCTTTGAACCTCCCTGCGTGCTTGGTATCATGATCCTCATTTAGCAGATGAGAAACCTGCAGCCCAGAGAGAACTGAGTGTCTGCTAAAACATCACACAGTTGCCAAATGGCAGGGAAGTATGTGTCCTAATCATTAGGACACTTCCTAGACTTTAATATGCAGATAAATTACCTGAGAAGCTTGTTAAATTGCAACTTCCGATTTAGTGGGCCTGGGGTTGGGCTGAAAGTCTACATTTTCACACACTTCTAGGTAAAGCTGATCCATGGGCCACACATAGAGTAGCAAGGTGCTTCAGAAAGTCTGTCCCAGCTAGGCATCCCGTGGGCCATGAGCTGTTTACCAAAGTGTCACTGAATGGCACTCCGCTATCCAGCAAAGTATGTGGTAGAGAAAGACAGGAAATAGTAGAAGAGGCTTGGGGAAGAAAAGAGGTGGAGAAATGGGGAGGGCATGTGTTGACTCCCCATGGGAAGTAGTACTCACTCTGGAAACATCCAAAGACAGGTGATGGAGTGTAAGAGTAGAAAAAACTTAGGATGGTGGTATCATAAGACCAGATAGACACTGGAGGTAGAGATAGAAATAATTGCCATGGCTGTTAAGCCAGGTATGGAAATGAAAAACCCTTAGGTGCAGACAGTTACAGAAAGAGCAGACTGCTTTAGAAAGTATCCGGAGAGGCAGACGGCGGCAGGGATACAGAGACTGGGCTGGTACAGAGAACCC